CTCTCTCTCTCTCTCTCTCTCTCTCTCTCTCTCTCTCTCTCTCTCTCTCTCCAGATCCCGGTAGATAATGCCTAAGCTACGGTACGCATGATGACAGTAATCGGAACAACCTGTGTCTGTCAACACAGATCGCTAGGTGGCATTTATCCCAACGAACCCGTGTGTGTGCGCCATTCGCCTCAGGCAGACGAACGCTTTGTATTAGAACAAGTGATGATACAAGCACAGCTCCAACGTATCCCCGGGAGAAGAAATGTTATCTGCAAAGCTGTACGTATCCTTGGGTGGGTGAGGAATAAATGGTATCTGCAAAGCTCGTACGTATCCTTGGGTGGGTGAAGAATAAGTGTTATCTGCACAGCTCGTACGTATCCTCGGGCGGGTGATGAATAAATGTTATCTGCACACCGAAAAACAAGCCTGAGAGTGAAAGCTGGGACACAAAGCACACAACTAACTGTTCGTAGACGAACTGGAGGGTTCCACACACTGTCTTTTATCCAAGAAAACGCTGTCGGCTTCTAGACATGATCGCAAAGCCTGTATTCTGTTTGCGCCCAAGTTAAATATTTTTTTCCGTTGTGAAATTATGCGTTAAAGCTTCCGATCCGAACGTATCTTAGCACAAGCATGGAGAGAGAAAAGGAAGAAACAACACGTAGGTAAGCTACAAGTGGTCCGCATGCTGCTGCAAGCATGCTTACCTTTTAAACCCCCCCCCAAAAAAAAAAAAAGTCCGCTAAATAATTAAATTAAGTCAACGTCAACACGGGACAAGAAGAGATGGGCACGTGAACAGACTACAGGTAACTTTTACACAGGTAGCACCAGAGCTTTTACTCTGATAGCACTCTCACTCTCCAAGGAACCGATTCTGCAATTTTCGTTTTCACTCTTTTTTCATAAAATATTTTTAGAAAGGGGAGCTGGGGGGGGGGGGCGTGACGTCAACAGGCTGGCTCGCGCGTCACGTGCAGTCAGCTGACTCGGTGCCTGACTTAGCCTACGTCTTCGCATGAGTCCGGGAGCCGAATCAAAACAACAGAACCTCCAACTCCCAACATAGAAAATCAAAGAGAAATAGGGAAGAATAAAACAAACAAAACAGAAATTAGATCTCATTACAAACTAAACACCGTCATCTGTGGGGCGGCTTTAAGGCGCTTTGCCGTCGGAGTTTTAGTTTTAGTAGAGGTTCAACGGCGCTCTCAACTGCATAAGGAGGCGGAGAACAGAGTTCGAATCTCGAGAGGTGAGAATGTTTATCGAGTATCTCGGTCTTTCTACTGGGACATTGCACGCCACTCAGCCCAAGTTGGTCCTGACAGTGACAGGCAGCGTCAAAACCTGCCTCCAAAAGTATCTCACTTGAGTCGATGAGGTCGTAAAAACACTTACATGAAGTTTTAAAACAAGAGGTGCAAACTAAACCAGACGCATCGTTCGCTCGCCAAGTTGCCACCACGTTGGACTGTGTTGGTTTCTCCAATGAGGATGAGGAATTTTCGATTTCAGATTGTCCGAGGAGTTTTCATGGCTCGCTAGCCCCTCACAATCAAATAGTTTGACCACAACTTTTCTGGGATCTAAGAAAGCTTCGGACTGAGAAGGCCTAGGCTTGCCTTGACCATATTGGCGGTGAGAACGCACAGTCACCCCCCCCCCCCCCACGGGCGCCTTCTTCCCCTTGTCAACTTGCAAAAGCGGAATTACATCTAAACCATGAAATCCGACTATGGAGTATGGAGAATGTGTTTTGTTCGTTTTGGGATGAAACGCACAGTTCTGCATCTGGGTTCCGCTTATCGCTTATTTAAAGCCTGAGCCCTCGGTCCCCTGAAGGCCATTCCATGAAAAGTGACACACGTAACGTGGAGATGATGACCCACTTGAAAAAAAAAAGCAGAGATAGCGCCAGTTTTCAATTTTTTGCTTGTTTGTTGGAAGTTACCTTTCTTTTTTAGGAAAGGGGGG